CTTGTATCCTGCTACTTTGCTGAATTGGTCAACTACGTCCAATAGTTTTCTTGCTGAGTCTTTAGGGTTTTCTAAGTATACTATCATTTCATAGGCGCTTTCAATGCTGTGACCTTTCAGAAGCAGATCACCAGGGCTTTCTTTCGCAACACCTCTGAGTGGTTTCAAACCATCAATCTTTTCGCTAGTAGTTGAATGAGTAATGATTGGTGATCTCCAGACTCCTTAATGAGGACAGAGGCCCCTATGGCTCCAAAGCCCCTTTGCCAGCACTGGTCAGAACCCTGACTCCCTCTTCCCATCTACCCTGCAGGTGGGTGTTTGTCTATGAGAAGGGCTACCAGACTTCGAGCGGCCTCATCAGCAGCGTGTCTGTGAAACTCAAGGGCCTGGCCGTGACAAAGCTCCCAGGCGGGGGTCACCAGGTGTGGGATGTGGCTGACTATGTCTTTCCATCCCAGGTGAGCTTCCTCCACTTATCAGCCTGGTTCAGATACGTGGTGGGCTCTTCCAGCTTCACTAAGGACTGGTTCACCTCCTAGCTCTCTCTGGACCACAGTTTCACTGGGGCTCTGTTTCGTGGTAAACTGACCTCATAAGGTCCCTCCCATCCTGACATGCTGGGATATGGATGCTGCTTGGGGTGTTGCTAGGGACTTGCTGCAGTAGTGTTGGGGCTCCTGGATTGCTCTCCCAGTTCACAGCTCTGTTCCACCAGCCCATCCCATCCCTCACTTCCAGGGAGACAACTCCTTTGTGGTCATGACCAATTTCATCAGGACCCCTCAGCAGGCTCAAGGCTTCTGTGCAGAGGTGAGAACTGCTGCCCTCTCTTCTTGTACCCACAGGGAGGAGAGCATGGAAGAGGGGTTCCCTCAGGCAGTGGAGATAGCCCGAGGGGCTTTCTGCAGGTGACCCCAGAGTGGGATTTCAGGCATAATTGTTAGCATGGAGTCACCTCCAGCTCTCAGTGACCCCCACCTCAGGGTCTAAGCACAGCTGCACTCCACCCTATTTCCAGTGGCTGATTTTCTGGAAATAGATCACCAGGTCTTTCTTCGGAGGCACCTCTGGTTTGACTTGAACCAGCAACCTTTTTGTGAGCAGCTCAGTGAGTTAACTGTACCACCCAAGGACTATGAAACTTTAGGCATGATTCACACAAAGTAACATTCAGCCCTTGGCAGTGCCGAGACCCTTCCCTCTTTCTCTGCACTTGCCAGATGGGATGCTAGGCTTCGTGCCTGCCCACTCTCACTTTACAGACCAAAGCCCACTGCCTGTACACCTCCAGTGACAGAGAACTTACCACCTCTCATCTCGAAATAAGACCATTTTGATTTGCACCCACAGAGTGACAGCTTAGCTGACAGTGGCCCTGAGACAGCTGGATAAGAGCAGTGTGGGAAGGGATTGAGGGGGTGGAGGTGAGACAGTCACCCCCAAAGGAATCTGAGACTCTGCCTCACACACCCGCTAGGGCTCAGGGGTGGAGGCGGGAGAGGCTCTTCTTAGGATCCCACCCAAGGGAGTCTAGGATCAACGACTTTCTCTGTTCCAAGAACCCAGAAGGGGGCACATGCAGAGATGACAGCGGCTGCACCCCAGGGAAGGCGGAAAGGAAGGCTCAAGGTAAGGTCAGGTTGCAAGGCCCCTCTCAGCCTCTGGCCCAGCAGCCTGCAGGCCCACCTTCCGCAGACCCACCTCTCCCTACCCCCAGCTCTCCTTCACAGAGAAATCCTCCCTGTTCTCTGTCCTCCTGCCCCCTTGCCCTTGACCAGCCCTTCCCAGAGCCAGTCGCTCTGCCACAAGCCTTCCTCCCCTCTCTGTAGGCATCCGCACGGGCAAATGTGTATCCTTCAACACCACCGTGCACACCTGTGAGATCTTTGGCTGGTGCCCTGTGGAGGTGGACGATGATATTCCGCGGTAATGCCCTGTCCTTCCGTGGAGCGGGGTTCCCAGCTCAGACCAAGGAGCATCTGGGCATGTGCTCTGGGAAACATCCAGCCCCTCCTTTGTCTAGCCCCTACCCCACCCCTGGTCGTCCATGCCGCCAGACTGGACTTCCCCAGGGCCCTGATCAAGGGGTTTCGAGTCCACTGTTGCAGCACACCCATGCCTCCATTGGAGGTTCCCAAATGCTTGGCCTGTACCCCCACCTGACCCCCAAGGGCCTCCTGAGGAGGGACAGCGAGTGAGTGCAGTCTTCCCCAGCCCTGCCCTTCTCCGGGAGGCCGAAAACTTCACTCTCTTCATCAAGAACAGCATCAGCTTTCCACGCTTCAAGGTCAACAGGTTCGTGGGAAACACAGCCAGGAGATGAGGCCTAAACTGGCCTCCAGCTTCTCACTTCCCTCCATTCTGACTGACTTCACTGGAGACTGAAGCCAGTGGGGGCCCCCCGGGGGAGGGCTTACCTTCCATCACTGAGGGCTTGGGGGTCAGGCATTTCTGGAGTCCACGAGGGATCCCCAGAGCACTGGGGCATGGTGAGCATCCTCCCAGGTGTCACCCTGCTGCCACCAATGCCCTCTGCCCCACAGGCGCAACCTGGTGGAGGAGGTGAATGCCAGGTATATGAAGACCTGCCTCTATCACAAGATCACCCACCCACTGTGCCCCGTCTTCAGGCTTGGCTACGTGGTGCAACAGTCAGGCCAGAACTTTAACTCCCTGGCCGAGAAGGTACAAGGGAGGAGGGATGGTGTCAGGCCAGGCTGGGGCCTAGAGTCGGCAGCCAGTAAGGGTTTTCCCAAACCAGTTAATCCCTTACACCTTCCCCTGGAGACGCCCTGGTATAGCTCAAGTGGCTGTCTGGGCCTGTCACCTTATAATGGTGTCCCAGAGCTCAGACCCATGTCCTCAGTAGGACCTGGCACAGAGGAGAGACCACAATGAATGGACATGGGCAGACACTGTCACTTGGACATCAGCTGAGGTCCCACTGTCTTCTAAATACAAAGCCCATGATCCCCTGTAGAAAGAAACGATGACCAGTCAAAATGAGAACAAGTAAAGGCTATGTAGCCGGGGCTTGAGAAACAGTCAGTGACCATCACACCAGGCAGGGAGGTGGAGGAGAAAAGAAAGGGTGTCCCGATGCCTCAGGAACCCTGGTGGCACAGTGGTTAAGCACTCAGCTGGTGTGAAAGGCCGGTTGTTTGAACTCATCAGCTGCTCCAAGGGACACGGATGTAGCAGTCAGCTTCCATAAAGACGGCAGTTGTGAGATATTGCTGCTTGGGCTCCGATGCACAGCTGACCACGTGCACAACCCAGGCCCTTCTCATCCTCACCACCTCCGCCAAGTTAAAGCCCACTGTTGCAGCCACTACATCAGTCCATCTCATTGCAGGGCCTCCTCTCTTTCACTGACCCTCTCCTTTTCCACGTATCATGTCCTTTTCTAGAGACTGGCCGCTCTTGATAACTAACATGCCCTAAGGATGAGAGACAAGATCTCCCCCATCCGTTCCTCAAAGGAGCACTTTGGCTTCGCTTCCTCCAGCAGAGACTTGTTTGTTCCTTTGGCAGTCCATGATACACTCAATCTTCTTCTCCAAAAACATAATTCAAAGGCAGCAGTTCTTTGGTGGTCTTTACTCATTCATTGTCCAGCTTTCTGACTCATGTGAAGCAGTTGAAAACAGCGAACAGTTCTACTGTGTGTTCTGTAGGGTCACTGTGAGTAGCAACCAGCTCTATGGATTTTTGTTGTTGGATCTTAGAGGTTGCTGACATGGAGAAGCTGGAGGCGGGTTAACAACAAGGGGGGCCTCCTGAACAGGATCAGTTAGGGAAGCAGACCTATTTGGCTTTCTTTGGTTGGTTCTAAATTGGAAGCTTTGGAGAGGGGCAAAAACAAGAGCAGATGGCAGTTATTGACCATGTTCTGGCCATTTGGGACTGGCTGCTGCAGACGTTGAAAGTCAGACTTCTCTTGTCATATATAGCCTGGTCATTGTTCCTTTGTATATTCTGTCTCTCACTTCTGAGGGTTCCTGGGAATTCAAGAAGCTGACATCCACAGTCACTTGAGTTTCCAAGAAAAAACAACAATGCCTTATAAGGAGCCTCGACAGCCCTGGGGGTATGAATGGTCAAGCACTGCACTGCTAACTTGAAAGATTGTTCTGATTTACCCAACTGCCCTATGACAGAAAGTCCTGGGGATCTGTTTCCACAAAGATGAAAAAAAGCCCTGTGGGGCAGTTCTTAGTCTCATACAGAGTCACTGTGACAGCACCCAGCTAAAACAACATAAGGAGCACAAATGTAACTGGCTGTAAATCCTGCTTTATCCCAAACAGCAGTGCAGCTTTAAATCAATCCCTTAATTTCTGCGTGTCTGAACATCTGTACTCGCATTTGTGAAATCTTATGAAAAATTCTCTCTTCCTGTCTTGCTCACTACCGTCTAGGTAGAACTGACTCATAGCTAACACTTCCAAGGTTGTAAGTTGCACTGGAGGAGATTGAACTAGCCACTGAAAATCATGTGGAGCCCAGTGCTACGCTGCACCCATGGGCTTGCTGGGTGTTGGAGTCAGCTGGGCAGCAGCTGGTTGTCAAAGTGGGACAACAGCAGTGCCCGTGTCGCGGGCTGTCGTGAGGATCGGGCGAGTTCACATGTGTGCAGCACCGCAGTGCACGCTTGCCTGCTGCATGGTGATCCTTCGTTTATTATTTCGCTCCTGCAGCCGCCTGCTCAGGCGTGGAAATCGGTCTCTTACAATTTCACACTCACACAAATAAAATAAAAAAAAATCCGTTCTCAACACATTTGTCTAGAGCAAGGATCAGCAGTTTTTCTGTAAAGGGCCAGGTAAGAAACACTCTCAGCATTGCAGACAGACCTCCTCTGCTGTTGTCGAGTGAAAGCAACCATAATAAACCGGTTGCCATGGCTTCAGTTTCGACTCATGGCGACCCATGCTCATCAGAGAACTGTGCTCCACAGGGCTTTTCATGGCGGTATTTTTGGAAGCAGATAGCCAGGCCTTTCTTCCGTGGTGCTTCTAGGTAAACTCAAATCTCCAGCCTTTCAGTTACCAAACAAGTGCTCTAACAATTTGCACCACCTCAAAACAAAAACAAAACAAAACCAGAAAACCTTAAACTCATTGTGTTCAAGTCAGAACCAACTCCTCGGTGACCCTCCAGCAGGTTTTCAGAGGTTGTAAATAACACAGGAGGAGACCACCCATCTTCCTCCTGAGGAACAGCTAGTGTTTTAAGCAGTTTGCCTTGGGGTTGGCAGCACAACTCCCTACAAGCTAAGCCATCAGGTTTCAAAATAACCATTAAAAAACCCCAAAAAACTCAAAACACTTCCAAGAACCCCCAACACAGAGCCATCTAGTCAGAACCAACTCAGTAGCTAATCTTCCCTGTGGTTTACGAGGCTGTAAATTGCGTGAGAGGAGATTGCCTACTTTCTCCTGAGGAATCTCTCTCTATGGACTAGGCCACCAGAGTTCCCTAATAGCAGGGACAACATTAGATTAGAGGTGGCAGTGGGAGGAAGTGACCAAAGGGGGTGAAGGAACCAGCCTTGAAAGAGCATGTGCAAAGGTCCCGAGGTAGGAAGGAGCTTATATAGTATAGTAATTGTTGGAAAGCTGGAACAAGTGTGGAGAGGTCTCTACCTTCAGCAGCCTCTCAGTGTATTTTCTCAGACAGAAGCCTTCCCTCTTCAAGTAATGCTGGGACCAACAGGGGACCAATACACCATTCTCCTGAAACTACACATTTGTTCCCGGCAGGGTGGGGTGGTGGGTATCACCATCGACTGGGACTGTGACTTGGACTGGCACGTGCGACACTGCAAACCCATCTATGAGTTCCATGGGCTGCATGAGGAGAAAACTTTATCTCAAGGCTTCAACTTCAGGTACCTGCCAGCCCCCACTGGTGTACACTTTTGGAACCCCTGACCCCTTGGTTTTTCTCCTCTAAAACCTCTTGAGGGAGGTCTGGTGGCATAGTCCTTAGGAGTTGAGCTGCTAACCCAAAAGCTTCACATCTCTGGTGGTTCAAATCCACCAGCGACTCCTTGGGAGAAAGATGAACAATCCCCTGTTCGATTTATAACCTCTGAAATCCAATGGAGAGTCAGCTATCAATCTGTTTTGACTCAAGAGCAATAAGAAAGAGAGAGAAAGAGGGAACACTTTTCTGAGAAGGAAGCAGATGAGCCTGGCAGTCTGGGAGTAACCAAGCAGGGGGCTAGCAGTTCCCAAGAGGCCCACCTGTCCAGGACCGACTGGAGAAATAGGGCAAGGGTTGAGTGCAGCTTCCAGTAATTGTTGGTATGAGGCCTGAGATCCTCCCTGGGACTCCCTCGTTGTGACCCTGGCCTACATTCCATTCTCCCCTGAGTCACCCAGAGATTGGAGAGGGAGGAGGAGGCCTTGAACTCCGTCCTCTGAGGACTCTTCCAGCTCCGAGCCTGAGGGCTCTCATCCCTGCGCAGTTCCTTCCCCCTCTGCTCCCACCGCTACCCCTAGATTTGCCAGGTACTTCGTGGAGAACGGGACCAGCCGCCGGAACCTCTTCAAGGTGTTTGGAATTCGTTTTGACATCCTGGTGAATGGCAAGGCAAGTGTCCAGCGTGTGTTTGAGGAAGGAGAGGAGAAGTCGGTAACTGGTCTTGGTTCCTGCCTGTGCCTTTTTTTGGTCCTCATGGCTGTGGTGACTGGAAGTTTGATGGGATTCGTTCATCAGTTCTTACTCCTGACAATAAAGGGGGTGGATCATTCAAAATCATGCTTTCTAGTCTCTGACCATCCCCCACCCCCACCCCAATTGCCTCCTTGTGTGCTGGGAAGCAGAGGTAAGGTCAAAACCTGGGTCTCCACCCACAGGCAGAGCCCTGGGCTGTAGGGGACATTAAGAATCTGGATTAGGGCAAGTCCCAGGCCTGGCCTTAAAGATTCTTTTTTTAATTTTTTTTTTATTTTATTATTTTGTGTGTGTGTGTGTACCGTCAAATCAGATCTGACTGGTACAGGAGGAGATTGCCCCTCCTTTTCCAGCAGAGCACCTGGTGGATTCGAACCCCGTATCTCTGGGATTGCAGTACAGCTTCTTGCCACTAGGCTACCAGAGCTCCCTTATAAAGATTCTTTAAGGGAGACTTTACCACCTCTGGCTGTTAACCCCTCCCTCTCCTGCTCTCTGCTCCCAGGCTGGGAAGTTTGACATCATTCCCACAATGACCACCATTGGTTCAGGCATTGGCATCTTCGGGGTGGTAAGTGCTGGGGTGCTAGGGTCACTCTGATGGGGTCATCCCCTACCATTCCATGTCTCTGTAATGAGGGCAAGTCATTCCATATCTTGTCCCTAGATGCCCACCCCATCACCCTAGATCCACAGTATGTCTGAGGAAAGTAATGCTCTGAGCTGGGACAGGAAAGAGGCGAGGTGGGCCGTCATGGACACATGGGAGTACCCCACCCCACTTTAGCTCACAGGAAGAACCTGGGGACTAAAGCAGGCATGATTCTGTCAATGCTGTGCAGTCCACATGACTGAGGTGAGATTAAGAAGGTTCTGGACTGCCCCTGGCCCTGATTCCCATATTCTGTCATCCACCCACAGGCAACAGTTCTTTGTGACCTGTTGCTGCTCCACATCCTGCCCAAGAGACACTACTACAAGCAGAAGAAGTTCAAGTATGCAGAAGACATGGGGCGAGAGGAGGTAAGAGAACACCCTTTGACAGCTTCAGGTCCATGTGTCTGTACTGAGGAGCTGCCAGCTGCCTCCCCAGAGCTGACTTTTCCATTCCCCCCTCACACACAGGGCAATCATGACCTTGCAGCCACCAGTTCCAGCCTGGATCTGCAGGAGAACATGAAGAAGTCCTGACCCTCAGACTCCTCAACTCCTGACTGGATGCAGCTCAAGGCTTCAGGACAGGGTTCTAGAGCATCCCAGCCAGGGCAGAGGGTCACCCTGGGAGCTCTGCTGTCCTCTCAGCCTTTCAGACACCAAACTGTCTGCAGCTCAGAGTGGACCTGGGGACAGACCTTTGTGACGCTGGGCCCTGAATCCAGCTGTGCACACCTTCAGGGCAGCGCCACTCCCGCCTCAGCATGCTTGACCAGAGGGGGTAGGGCTGGGCGGTCATACCTGTGTCTTTCTCTGGGCCGTCAGTATCGATCTCCCTGCTTCAGTGACTACTGCCTCGCTGATTACTATTTAAATTTAAATTAATGAAGATGGAAGATTTACAGTGGCGGCCGTGCTGGACCACACAGAACATCCCCATCATCACAGAAAGTTCCATCAGGCAGCTCTTTGTGGCCTCAGATTTCCCCATAGATCTAAGACACAGAGTAGGTGCCTGGGTCCCACCAAACCACCTGAAGTGTTACCTTGAATGCTGGACACCACAAGCTCTATGTGGTCAGCTAAGACTCATTTTGAAACCTAAATTTAAGACCTGCTGCTCTAGAACTTTCTGCCCCTGGTCAAGGGTCAGACTTGGGTCTGGGACCGTATCACGTGGCGTGTTGGGGCATTGAACAAGATTTCAGAGACCATCAGCGTCTGTGTGGTGTGCACACTAGCCACGCATTGTCTCAGATCTACACTCCCATGTGCACACCCACCTGCATGCACACATCCCTCCCACCCCTCTGCATTCAGGCAGCTCAGCCTCTGCAAATACAACCATCCAAACAACACACTTACACGCACCCCCGCGAACAGACTCATGACCCCTGGCATGTGACCTCCAGGGGATGTGCACCTCCCCACATGTGTCAGACTAAGACAATCCCTTCTGGCCAAGGATCTTACTCAGCTACCTCGGGTCAGGGTGGAAAATTCAGCCAGATCCTGTGCCCTCTGCCTGTGGCCCAGCCCCAGCTCCCAGGGCCTCCTCAACTCTGAACACAGGCCTAAGGAAAAGCCAAGGGCAGAGGACAATAAAAGGAGTGATGATAAACCCTGGCCTTCTGTACTTTCTTCCTGGCTCTGAATCTCCGTGTGCCTGTCTGTGAAATGGGAGATTCAGCTGAGCAATCTCTGAAGTCCCTCTGACTCCTTAATCAGTAACTATGAGCTCGTTCTTATTCCCTGAGCTCAGGACTAGGGGACTCTGGTGGTCTGGTCCATAGGGAGTTGTGTTAACCCAAACACTGGTGGTTCTCCTTGGAAGAAGAAAGATGTACAATATTGGTTGGTGGGATTTATAGCACTGGAAAACTGCTAAAGGGTCAGTTATAAATCAGTTTCAAATCAACTGCAGTGACTGTGAGTTCAAAGTCCAGAATGGCTCTGTTCCTGGGTCACTGTCCTGGCACAACTCTGAACACTAGGACTCTTCTCCAGTCCTCCACAAGCCGCGTCTGTAGTCTGGGGAGTCCTGGTGCTGCGGCCAGCAGAGAGCCCTAGGAGTGGCCTCAGGAAGGCCAGGCTGAGAAAAGGACTGGCTAGCCCAGGAGAGACTTCGGAAGAACTCCCATAGAGGAAAGGAGAGCCTAGCCAGGTGATCTCTCTGGGGGCCCTGCTGTGGGCATGGCCACCAGGCCCACGGATCTACAGCTCTGAGCACCCCCAGCACATACTCTGTTGAGACCAGAGCTAGCCAACAGAACTTTCTGGAGTGATACACATGTTCTCTATCCATGCTGCTCAATACAGTATCCACTACCCCTTTGAATTGTGATGGTAGCCAAGAGTATTGAATGTCCCATGGATTCTAAAAGAACAAACATCTGTCTTAGGAGAAGTACAGCCAGGAAACTCCTGAGGTGGCAACGATGGTGTAACTTTGTGTCACACACTTGGGGCATGTTGTCAGGAGGGACTAACTAGTCCTTGGAAAAAGACATCATACTGGGAAAGGTGGAGGGTCAGCAAGAGGGAGTAAGACCCTTAAGGAGGTGCACTGACACAGTATAATTGGGCTAGAGCTTGTGTCAATCCATCTCATCCAGGGTCTCTTCTGTGCTGACCCTCCAACCTTCCAAACATGACATCCTTCTCCAAGGACTGGACCTCCCTGGCCACAAGCCCAAAGTATGTGAGACAGCTTCAAAATTATTGTCTCCAAGGAATAAGCAATCTGGTTTCACCCTCTCCAGTACAGCCCTCTTTATTCTCTTGGCAGTCCATGAGATGTTCAATACTCTACTTCATCACTACAACTCAAAGTCATTGATTCTTCTTCTGTAATTCTTAAGCCATTGTCCAGCTCTCTGATGTATAGCAAACAATTCAGAAGACTATGGCTTTGATCAGGCACACCTTAGTTTCTAGACTGACATCTTTGTTCTTTAGCACTCTGTAGAGGTCCCCGATAGTAAACTTACCTAAAGCAACTCATTTTTTTATTTCCTGACTGCTGGTGCCAAGAGTATTGATTGTGGATCTGAACAAGATGAAATTGCTAACAACCCCAATCTCTTCTCCATCTATCATGGTGCTGTCAATTTGCCCAGTGGTGAGAATCTTTGTTTTCTTAATGTTTAATTCAATCCATATTGAAGGCTGCAGTCCTTGACCTTCTGCAGCAAATGCTTCAGGTCCTCCTCAGTTTCAGTGAGCAAGATTGTTATCTGCATAATGCAGGTTGTTGATGAGTCTTCCTTCAATCCTGATGCCGTCATCTGCCCCTTTTCTTCTCCAAACCTACCTGTTCTTGCTCCTCCTGCCCCTTTCCCTACTGAATGAGGCAAAAAATATTCTTTTTCTGTGTGCGAACCTATGCTCAGCCCAGAGACCTTCCTCTTTGCCCCCTCTTCTCTCTTCTTCTTTTACTCCCTCCCCTTGCCTCCTCATCTGAGCTTCTTGCAGCTCTGCCTGCTCCCTCTTCACTGCCGCCCTTCCAGAAAGACCAGTCTACACTCTCCGAGCTCTCAGCCTCTGCAATTGGCCTCCACTAACCCCCTCCTTCTAGACGCCCTTGCCAGGGGCACTAGCCCTTATCCTGCTTGGCCTGTCATCATTTGACACTGTTGACCAAGTCCTCCCTGTTGAAAGATTGCCTCCCAGCAGCTCCTAACATCCACCCTCTCCTGATTTTCCAGCCAGTGTGATGTACACGGAAGACAGGCTTGAACTGCCGCTCCCTGCATGTCCTTGGGCAAGTTGCTTTGCTTTCCAAGCCACCGCTGGGATAATAATAGCCTCTTCTCAATGTGGGGTGAGATTAAGTATGTAAAGTGCCCAGCACTGCGCCAGGCACAGGGTTTGCTCTGCCATTAATCTAACCACTCTTTCAGTGGAGTCAGCTAGTTGTCTGCAGATTCACACTATAGTAATATAACCTCTGGTTCCTGGCCAGGTCTGCACTTTCCAGATTCTAGGAGCCGAATCAGGTCATGTGACTGAGGTCTAACAAACAGGATGTTTCCTTATAGGAGAGCTAGGCCAGATCCTTTGCCCTCTTCTTCATTTTCCTTTTCATTCTACACCTGGGAACATGTATGCGATGGCTGGAGCTCTAGCTGCCATCCTAAACTATGAAGACTCAGAGGTTTCTGGAGCTGTCAGTGGAAGGACAGAGTCTATGGATTGTGGACTAACACTACCGTATTAGCCCACGGCTGCCTTCCTCAAGGCTTTTATGGGATATTTCTGTTACTCCAACCAAATATGACCCTACCTGGTACAGAATACTTTCCCCTGTAAATGTGAGTGTTTCAGGGCACTGTTTTTGGCCCCTGCTTTATTTACTCCAGGTGACCTCATCTTTTCCCATGGCTCTACCTACAATATATTTTTTATCCTTCCAAACTATTTCTTCAGCCCAGTCCAATTTCTTGAACTTCAGCACCCCTATCCAAACTTCCGTTATCATATCCAGCAATCAAGAGATCAGGAGATATATTGTATTAGGAAAGTTCACCTTGAAAGACCTCCCCAAATTACTGAGGAGCAATGATGTCAGTTTGAAGACTAAGGTGTGCTTGATTCTGGGGCAGCTGAGAATAGAACAATGAATAAGGATGGCAGAGGAAAAGCCAATACCTTTGATTTGTGCTGTTGAAAAAGAACACTGAATATTGCATGAAATGTCTAAAGAACAAATAGCTATGTCTTGGGGGAAAAGTGTAGCAAGAATGCTCCTTGAGGGTAAGGAGCTTTGTCTCACATACGTTGAGCACCTTGCTAGAAGAAGCTATTCCTTAGAAAGGGACATCAGGCTGGGAAAGTTGGAGGGTCAGCGAAAGAGAGGAAGACCCTCAATGAGATGGTGACTGCAGCAATCGGCTCAAGTGTATGAGAGATGAGGAAGATGACACAGTGTCGGACAGAGTCCAGATCTATTGCTCACAGAGTCACTTCAAGTCATATTCAACTCAACAGTACCTGACAGCATTATCATATCAAATTCATTATTCAATCAACGAACATCTACAGACCATCTTAGATGTGCCTGGCCATGTGCTGGATATATCAACCCCCAGTGCTTTTCATCAAGGAGCTCTTGCTCCAGAGGGAACAAACAAGTAAACAGAAGTCTCTAGGAAGGATAGATAACCCATGGTGGGTTGTTGTTGTTGTTGTTGTTGACTGCCTTCAAATTGAGCACGACTCATAGCGACCCTATGAACAAAAGGCCTGAAGCCCCTCTACAACTCTGGACATCAAAGTTCATAGAGTTTCTGGAGGCATGTTATTTAGGAAGTGGATGCCACTCCTGCTTTCAAACTTGTCGTAGAATGTCAGCTGCAATGCATAGTGACCCTATGTACAGCAACTCTGAACCCTTTCTTGTCCTGAGCCAGTCTCACTAATTTTGACACACCAACCCCCATTGTCCATCTCATCTGGGGTCTCCCTCTCTTGCATTGTCCCTCCACTCTTTCGAGCATGATGTCCTCCAAGGACCAATCTCTCCTGGCCACGTGCCC